AAACACAGGACCCTCATTCCTGGACTCGGGACCCCTCCCCAAAAATCTGAGACCCCTCCCCATAACCCCAGGACCCCTCCCCACGACCCCGGGACCCCCGGGACCCCTCCCCATGGCCCTGAGACCCCTGCCCATAACCCCAGGACCCCTCCCCATGACCCTGGGACCCCTCCCCATAACCCCAGGACCCCTCCCCATGACCCTGGGACCCCTCCCCATGGCCCCGGGACCCCCGGGACCCCCACCCACCCTGGCTGTAGCCCAGCAGGTGAACCCCCCGGGCCGCGTTGGCCATGATGGGCGCCAGCGCCCGGCGGAACCCGGCCACCTGCAGCCACAGCGGCCGCAGCGACGCGCCCCGGTCAAAGAGGTCCAGCACCGTCACCTCCGCGCCCGGGTGGCTCTGGGGGGGGAAAAACGGGGTGAGGGACCCCAAAAATGGGATCAAGGACCCCGAAAATGGGGTGAGGGACCCCCAAAAATGGGATCAGGGACCCCAAAAATGGGATCAGGGACCCCGAAAATGGGGTGAGGGACCCCCAGAAATGGGTCAGGGATACCCCCGGTCAAAGAGGTCCAGCACCGTCACCTCCGCGCCCGGGTGGCTCTGGGGGGGAAAAACGGGGTGAGGGACCCCAAAAATGGGGTCAGGAACCCCAAAAACGGGATCAGGGACCCCGAAAATGGGGTCAGGGACCCCAAAAATGGGGTCAGGGACCCCAAAAATGGGATCAGGATACAGAAAAATGGGGTTGGGACCCCCAGAAATGGGATTGGGACACCAAAACCAGGGTCAGGGACCCCAAAAATGGGATTGGGACCCCGAAAATGGGATTGGGACCCCAATTTTGGGGGACTTTTGGGGATATTTTGGGGTGATTTGGGGATATTTTGGGAATATTTTGGGATATTTTGCAGATATCTTGAGGACATTCTGGGGATACGTTGCAGATATTTTGGGAACATTTTGGGGATATTTCCGGGATCTTTCGGGAACATTTTGGGGATATTTCCGGGATATTTTGGGGATATTTTTGGGATATTTCCAGGATATTTTGGGAATATTTTGGGGATATTTCCAGGATCTTTCGGGGATATTTCCAGGATATTTTGGGGATCTTTTGGGGACATTTTGGTGATATTTCCGGAATCTTTTGGGGACATTTTGGGGATATTTCCTGGATGTTTTGGGGATATTTTCGGGATCTTTCGGGGATATTTCCGGGATCTTTTGGGGATCTTTTGGGGATATTTCCGGGATATTTTGGGAACATTTTGGGGATATTTCCGGGATCTTTTGGGGATATTTCCGGGATCTTTTGGGAACATTTTGGGGATATTTCCGGGATCTTTTGGGGATATTTCCGGGATCTTTCCAGGATATTTTGGGGATATTTCCAGGATATTTTGGGAATATTTTGGGGATATTTCCAGGACATTTCGGGGATATTTCCGGGATCTTTTGGGGATCTTTTGGGGATACTTTGGGAATATTTTCAGGATATTTCCAGGATCTTTTGGGGATGTTTCGGGGATGTTTCGGGGATCTTTCGGGGATATTTCCGGGATCTTTTGGGAACATTTTGGGGATATTTCCGGGATCTTTTGGGGATCTTTTGGGGATATTTCCAGGATATTTTGGGAATATTTCGGGGATATTTCCAGGATAATTTTGGGAATATTTCGGGGATATTTCCAGGACATTTCGGGGATATTTCTGGGATCTTTTGGGGATAGTTTGGGAATATTTTCAGGATATTTCCAGGATCTTTTGGGGATCTTTCGGGGATATTTCCAGGATATTTCGGGGATATTTCCGGGATATTTTGGGGATATTTCCGGAATATTTCGGGGATCTTTCGGGGATCTTTCGGGGATCTCTCGGCCGGGCCCGGGCTCCCACCTCGTTGATGAACTGCCGCAGGCGGCGGAAGTCGCCGGGGCTGTCGAAGAGCCCGTGCACGACCACCACGGGCCGGAACGGCGCCCCCCGCGCCGCCGGGGGGGGGAGGGGCGCCAGCAGCAGCAGCAGGAGGGGGAGGGGCAGCGCCGCCCCTCCCCCACCGCCCC